ATGGTGTGTGGTAGACAACAACAAGGATTTGTCCAATGTTTCTTCTAGTTTCTCGTCAGCTTGCTCCAATGGCGACTGCACTTCTCTGTTACCTGGTGGCTCCTGCTCAGGTCTTGCCTGGCCTGGTAATGTGTCGTATGCGTTCAACAACTACTACCAGCAGCATGATCAGAATGAGGATAGTTGCTACTTCAATGGCCTAGGTTTGATAACTACTGTTGATCCATCTGTCGACAATTGTTTGTTTCCTCTCGCAGTTCGCACTTCTGCTGCCACTTCTTTGCACCTAACATTGCCCATGTTGCTATTATTAGTTTTGTGGTTTTGCATTGTCTGTATATAGTCTGCTGAGGCTAGATTGAGCCTTCAAAAGTGTTTCTTTGGGCCTCTTGTTGAATGTACTCCAAAGTTTCGGTGCACCATAAGATAATATTATTCCTGGATAATGGCACAATTTCTGATATCTGTTAGAGTAGCCTATCACAATTGGTAGGTTTAGTCCAAATGTAATGATGTGTGTATTAAGATAGTCGTGCTGAGTCAGACAGCAGCTCTTCTCTTCAAAATTTGAACCTGGCAATGTTGCCATTTCATGATAGATACATTCTTGGTTTCACTACATCTTAGAAAGTCCAATCAACAGAAGGTGCTGCACGTTATGCATTTTTACTACAAGTGAACCGTGCAGTTTAGCTGGAGAGCTAGGCAGCAGTGTACAAAGTCTAATCCACAGCTGTGACTCTGTGAGCTGGGGTTGGGCCTGCCACAGAGGGGAGCATGTCTTTTTGTTTGTGCAATTGTCAGTGCCTTAGAAAATGTGTTATACAGTTATACACGGTCAATTATTCATCTTTCAGTCTATGAACACTGACTTGACGTGGAAGAACTTGGTACAGATTCCGGGAAACGGATGCTGAGTTGCTGAGAGGCCTTGTAGTCCCTGGTCCCATAAAGAAAGACCTTATAGTATTCAAAATTTGTTGCACAAAGAAAATCTGTTTGTTTTTGCATGCATAAAGTCAGGGGGTCACTCTTCACTGTATGAGATGTTTTGGTTCGGAAATAGATATAACACCAATCATAACCATAAGGCATAAGTTCATTTTTCAACCTTAAATTACGAAATCAGATATTGAAGGTCCTCTAACTGTTGAAATCGGATGAGTTTAGTCCTCTAGCTATTTTCAAAGGTGTTTTTCTATTTTTAGAAATAATAAAAATCTAGTTTAATATCTAAAAATCCATAACAAGTTTATTTTAAATCATAAATAAATCAGAAAAATATGAAACTAGCACCAATTTTTTTCCCTAAAAATGTTATTTGTCTATCTGTGCTTTATTTGGATCTTATTTGTTTTAAATAAATAAATAATAAGCATGACTACGAACAATAAAACAATAGCAACAAAAATAAATTAATTCTAAATAACTCTAAATAGATCACAAACATATATATAATGTTACTACTAGAGTAAATTGATACTAGTTTCGTATTTTTTATTTATTTAAAAATAATAGCTATCATTTTTTTATAAGACAAAAAATAACCTTTGAAATCAGCAAGGAAGACACGTTCAGTATCTGGTTTTATAGTTTAAGATTGAAAATCGAATTGGCGTGCAAAATACCTGGGTTCAAAATACAGAAATTTGGAAAATAAGTAGGCATGATTGTGTCCGCTGAAGTTCTGTGCGTGCCGTGGCTCCATGGCACGGTAGAATTTTACATTAGTGCCGGTGACCATTAGTATATCTAGAAGAATTCTCCGCGCGTTGCGGTGGAAATGAGCAATGGCTCTCATGTTATTATTACTAAGCACAATGTATTTAGAATTTTTAAGTATAATCTGAAAATATAAGCAACTGGCTATTGTACAGCTCAGAAATTCATGAAAAAAAAACCTAAAGTATTAAAATGCAATATATACATTTTCTAACATTATACATGACTTTTTAAAGTAATTGATAAACATATAGAGAAGGAGATGAAAAAGTGGAAATCAAACTACCTGGAATAAAACAATACATCGTCCATCGGACTCCATCAACAAAGGCACGTAATCTCTACACCCACCTAAAAAATAACTAAGGGTATCGTCTGCGCGCCTCTTTGCCCCGCTCCCACGACTTCGTCTCCATGCTGCCACAGAGTCCGCGCCAGAGAAGGCTCCATCGCCTAAGGCCATGTCACGTTTAGTTACCAAATTTTTTTTTAAAAAAGTACTTCAGTAGCCATTACATTGAATCTTGCGATACGTGTATGGAGCATTAAATGTAGACGAAAAAAACTAATTGCACAGTTTGGTTGGAAATCGCGAGACGAACGTTTTGAGCCTAATTAGCCCATGATTGAACACTAATTGTCAAATAAAAAACGAAAGTGCTACAGTAGCCAAATTTTCAAATTTCGCGAACTAAACACAGCCTAACTGTGCCTGCGTCAGTTTCCCGCTAGCGCTGCCGTGGAGTCCGAACAAATAATGACCACCTAATAAAAAGACAAACAATATACTTATCGACTAATCACCAAAGCAGTTTCCCGCTAGCGCTCCTGTGGAGTCGGAACAAATAATGGCCACCTAATAAAAAGACAAACAATATACTCAACGACTAATCACCAAAGCACCAAGCAATTAGCCGGTCATAAGTAGAATTTTGCGTGAAGTGTAATGGGAAGGGACTCAGTCACAGAGGCCGGAGAATGGAGAAAAAGTGCGGATGATCGCCTGCACAGGCGATCTGCGTGATGGCAGATAGCACGCGCTTGGCATCGGGCAGTCGTGCCTCTTTAGGCGGCAGCGATAGACATGCAGCAGCGGACGCAACAATCTAGAACAGGCCAGTCCTCCAATCTGGTTAAATCATAAGGGCCCTGTGCTAAATTAGAAAAATAAATGAGAGAGATAAATCATAAGGGCCATGTGCTAAATTAGAAAAAAAAATGAGAGTGATGAAATCCGTCCAAAAATAAATCATCCTCCTAAAAAAATCAAATAAATTATCTTTAGTATTAGTATGATAATTGGTGAAAATATTTAGTTTTCCTGTTGAATTTTGTATGCCCATGAGCCCATCTTAGATTAATTAATTATTTTATCTCATCAAAGACAAATAGTATGGCTAAAAGAAGATATATCTCTATCTCTACAATAAAAAAACCTATATATTGTTATCGTGGTATTGTCCCACTGATTGCCCCGCCTTGCTCGCCCCGCAAATCTAACATGAGTTCAAAGAGGACTTCGATGATGTACGTATATCAACCATCGCAACCTGGTGCAACTGCTGGGCTTCTGCAACGTGCGCATCCTGGTATTCGAGTTCACGATCTCCATGGCACGCTCCACGACCACCTCCACGGTAGCAGCCGCGACAGCTCACTCGTCACGCCTCATCAACGCGCATCGCTTCAAGGTGCGGCACCACCTTCGCTGCCGCCCTGCTCCACATCAGCTCCTATGACAAGACATCCAGGTCCAGCAACATATGACCTCGTGCTTAGTAGCCTCCAGCAACATGAGACCTCCAGCATCTTGGCAAGTACCAGGCGTTGGCGACCTGGTGCACGGTGGCCGGCGTCCATGCATGGCCACGTTGACATGAGGATATGTGACGTCAGCACAGTGACTCATTTTCCCTTACAAAATAAATGAATAAATACGATCGTATATACATACAATGTATGCCAGCAGAAAATACTAAGAGTCAGTTTCTTGTCTCGTTCAATTTATGCACGGACATACTGAGTATATTATATGAAGAACCCTCCTCTGCTCAGTGCTCGTTATTAAACATGGGATTATTTTAGGCACATCCGTGGCAACTATTGATTAATCGCCTTCCAGCTCTGGTATCACATGCTGGGCTCCAGCCAGAAGCAACCTTATTATCTCCTACACGATCTCATCCATTTCCCATTACCTTTCTCATATGCTCTCTCCTCTCATATCCAAAGCAAACTGGTGTTGCTTAGCCTTTGCACGGCCTACAGCATCCGTGTGGATGGCGAGAGGCCATCGGAGGTCATGGCGAGGCTGCATGGCAGGATTCTCGTGCCGGACATTGCACGTGGTGGGGAAACCGCGCTAGCGAAGCCTGTGCGATGGGGAGAGCGTGTGGCAGGGTTCTCACGGCACACTGGAGTTGATGAGGCGGCTTCCTGCTCTCTCCGAAAGGACAAAACCCTATGCCTTCCGATTCGACGGCAACGGAGGACCTGGGCATGGTGCACATACGCTGCTACTACACATGCAACTGAGGGAGGGTGGAGGTGAACAGCTGATGAAGAAGAATTTAAAGGGGGCCGACTGGAAGAAGGGATGACTGTTGCGAGCAGCAGTGGTGACTTGGAAACCAAGAGGCATGTGCAATTAGAGTGCGACTGCATGAGTAATCCATCAGTTACTACCTCCGTTTTCGTTTACTTGTCACCGAATTTTTACTGTAGTAATTTTGACCCTACGTTTTTTTTTCTGCAAAAGATTTTTAAATACATCAAGTTTTCACATATATGATTCTTTATTGAACATACTTCATTAGTGTTATATACATTGAACTAAGATTTTTTTAGAAGAAAAAACATATGGTCAAATTTGCTATAGTAAAAAGTTGCTGACAAGTAAACAAAACGGAGGAAGTACAAAAATTTGGCGGTGGGCAAGGACAGAAGATGGGCGGATGGTCTGTCTTTTCGGTGAGATGAACATGAACGGATGGATTTAGCTGATAGTACAAATTAGATGGCTTAGATTAGTTGATGATGTGGAGCGCTCTAGAATGAGATAAATTGGTTAGTGGTTTTTTGCTTTCCATTGAGATTAAACAGTGTGGCTTTACACATTCTGAAACTAATTGTGACTCTTGGCTTGCCTGCAGTTACAGCCTACACCTTCTATAAGTACAGCCGCGAGCCTCAGCTGCAAATTAACTAGCGCATCTCTTAACCTTCATTCATCGTCCCAAGTTTTACTCTTCCTAGAGCACATGGCACCACCACCATCCATGGCATTCTCCCGCCTGTCCATGTCCGCGCTCACCTTCCTGGCGCTGCTCGCCGCGTCGACGGCCGCGCATCGGACGCCGCCGACGGCTTTCGCCCCGTCGTCGTCGCCCTCGGTCCGGGGCCTGCCTGCACTGGCGGAGCGGCTGGAGGGCGCGGAGGCGCAGCTGTGCTGGGAGGCGCTGGTGGAGATCAAGTCGTGCAAGGGCGAAATCATCATCCTCTTCATCAAGGGCGAGGCGTTCCTGGGGCCCGGGTGCTGCCGCGCCATCCGACTCCATGCTGTCCTTCATCGGTTTCACCCCGCAGGAAGGCGACATGCTCAAGGGGTACTGCGACGCGGGCGACGACGACAGCGCCGGCGGCGGCGGGCAGAGCGGCTCGCCGCCGCCGCGCGGTGCGGACGCGGTCGGTGCTGCCGCTGCCCGCGAGAGCTTCGCTGCCGTCGCGGGAAGGAAGAGCTTGATGCACCGTTAGATGGGCGGATCAAGATGTGTTCGTTTGATCGTTTCCACGTCCAATCTTGTTGCCTTCGTACGCCAAACATAAATAAAGAGTGACAAATCTTACTTCTGCTACAGAATGTTGTCCTTGAACTTTGGTAGATCATTTTTTAAGAAAAACATCAGGTCGCGCTCGCGCGTTTGCTCCCTGAAATTGCATTGAACATATGCTCTGACGATTCAGGGCCCGTTTGGCATGGCTCGGCTCGTGAAAAAACAGTTTTGGCTCTGGCTCGTATGAAAAAGCAGTATTTTCTAACTCTGGCTTATTTTGTACGAAAACGTTTGGCAAAACGGCTTCTCCTGGCTTTTTAGAATGTATAGAAAATGTCAATTATCCATTATGCCCTTACATATGTATAGTCCATTGTGCCCTTGCATATGTATAGTGGTTGCATATATGAGTTTTATGTGTGATTGTAGTTGATAATATAATTTATATATGAGGAATGAAATTAGTAGATATGCCTTTTTTCTTCATGTTTTCCCTGATTCTATCTTTTTCTTCCTTTTTTTCTTCTTCTTTTATCTTTCCTTCCCCATCCTTTTTCTTCTATTTATTTCTTCCTAATTTATATATGAGCAAGCGATGGCAAGTTTCTCGTAATTTTGGTGAATAGTCAAGGGCACATGTGACTTTTTACTGTTTGGGATGGAGATGAGCCGGGGGGACTCATGGTTTGCAGTGTAAGCCGAAGAGTGGCTCATGGGCGGCTTTTGGCCTGAAGCCATTTTGAATCGGAGCGTTTGAGGACCTATCTGGTAGGGCTCCGGCTCCTGCCACTGTCGGCCGCCCACGGGCCGATAGGTGCTCCAGCTTCCTGTCGGCCCACCCGCAGGAGCTCTGCCAAACAGATCCCGACAGAGCTTGAGCAAAAGCTGCTCAAGAAGCTGCTCAACGAGCCTTGCCAAAGGCCCCCTCAGTTCTGGCCTTCTGTGTGGGTTCGACGTCTCCATCACACCGTCGCACTCACACCACATGTCTGCGAACACAGGCCGGCAGGCCGCGGCAGAAAACACCACGTGATGACGTGAGCGGTGCGGGGCGCAGGGCGGACGGGGACGACGGACGATGGCGCGGTCGGCCGAGGAGAGAATCGTCGGGGCCCCGACACGACACACCCGTGAGCCGTGACTACCGATGCGGAACAAACGCCAAAGCGGTCCAACTCAAGCCGCGCGCAAGCGGAGGCATCTAGGATTCCAGGCTTCCCTCCTCGGTCCTCGCTTCCCCAGCCACAAGCAGAAAAGCTCACTCGCTCCTGCTCATCCTCGGTTGCGCCGCCGCTGCGAATGCCGCCTCCGGGGCCCCGCCTGCCGCCGCTTCTCCTGCTGCTCCTCCTCGCGGCCGCCTGCAGCAGTGGCCTCACCGGTGGGGGGGAAGGCGGCTCCTGCGAGTTCTCCGTCGCCCGCGGCAGCGAGCTCTACAGCTTCGACCTCGCGGCGCCGACGCCGGCGCACCGCCACGGCGTGCTCAGCGAGGATGGGTACGTGACGTTGGTACCCATGATGGACTACTATATATAAGACCAGTGTATCAAGCAGTACTCCCCTGCGTCCATCGGGATGGGGATTGCCGCGAATTCATTTCTGGAGGGGGTGAGGTGAGGCCCGCCTCCTCGCGCCTCGCGGTTACTTCGGGTCCTCCTCCTGCCTAGTGGTGGATGGTCGTGGAGACGCCCTTCCCGTGTTCCTCGAAGTGCTCGTCCTGAGTCTTGAGCTTGGTTGTTGCTGAACTGAAGTTAGTGATGCGTCACCTGGCATTGCTTTTGTATATGAAATTTGTCTCGGTATCAGAAAAGGGTGTCTCAAGCCTCAACAGTCAATAGATATGTGCATTTGTGGCCTGCTTGGCTTTTCTTTTGAAAAGCAAGTGGCCTGATTGTCTTACTTGCTGAGAGTTGAAGCTAAGACCTCCAGAAATATTTAATCAGCTCCAGGCATACTTGTATTCAATCAGTTCGACTCAGTTGCATATTTGAATTCTCATGTGTTAGAAATATTTGGTCTGGGGAATCACATTTTTTGTGTGTTATTATACCTATGTTGAGCGTGTCCCACAATAATGCCCATCTTGTGTTTCAGGTTTTACAAGGTGGCCGTGAATGATTCCATACTCTGGTTCCAGGTTGGTTAGGATAGTATACTCCTTTATGTCTGAGTGTGTATTGCATATGCTGACATACTTTCTAAATTTCCAAAAGCTAATATGATAAGCTGGTTAGTAACTGAAAATAGACTCTTGAGTTTCCTAAAACACTCTTTCTGGAGGGGTGAGACTTTTAGGGTTTGGTGTTCCACTAATGATAGTTTTGTTTGTGCCATGCGTGCAGCTTTGCGATGAAATGCTATTCAACTTTGACCCACCTATGTGTCTTAATTGTGAGGTACACTCCCTTGGTCTAGCTATTCCATCAGTTAAACGCAAGATGTTCAGGTTTTCTCTAGGATTTCCATTACGGGTCATTTGCACACTTGGCACTCACGCCTGTACTTCAGCATTTAATTTCCATGCTCGCGCTGAATGAGCAAAGTATCATCTGTTGTTGCATTGCTTTATCTGGAACTATATTGAGTTCGTCTCAGCCTTTCCTGATTGTATTATAAATAGGATTTATATTATACTGCACAATTTATTTACTTCTCATTTGCTATTTTGTGTGTGTATTCTTTTTTATGGACACTGTTTCAATAGCAACTTTTTTTTTCCTCGAATACGCAGGAGAGCTGCGTATCATTGTATTATAGAGAGAAAATAAAGGCCCGAGTACATTACCAACTCATGCCAGTACCATACATGAGAAGGTTGGGACACTTACAACATTATCACCTATGAGGCATCTGACGACCGACAACCAGGCACCTAACCAGATGTCCCTACCCCATCTAACCGAAGTGCTTGGAGCTTCTTAGCTCCAGCCAAGCACCACAGTTTGTACTCATCTCTAAACTGTCTCAAGACCTCGTTAATGGATGGAGTAGCTCCATCAAAGACACAAGAATTGCGATGCTTCCATATCAGCCAAGATGTCAGAATGATTAGCGAATTAACCCCTTTCTTGTACTCCTTCTTGACTCTAGGAATGTACTTGGTCCACCAATCAGCAAAGCTATGTTCGTTCTGTTGTGGTACTGCTTCATCCATCTCCATAGGAGAAAGGATGCTGAACCATATTTGACGTGAGAACACACAATTAGTGAGCAGATGTTGAATAGTCTCCTCCTCTTGGTCGCATAATGGACATCTCTCTGGATGTGACAATCCTCGGTGATCAAGCCGATCCGCTGTCCAACATCGGTTTATGATGGCGAGCCAAATAAAAAATTTACATTTTCCAGGGGCCCATGACTTCCATAAACGTCGCCAAGGCTCAAATGTCACCGAACCATAGAAGAAAGCTCGGTAGGTAGACTTGGCGGAGTATGTTCCAGAGGCATAAAATCTCCAAATATGTTGATCATCATCCTGGGAGAGCGCAACCTCCCTAAGACCATCCCCAAGATGCAAGTACTCTGAGAGTCCGACCATGGACAGGCCTCCCTGAATATCACTCAAAGGGCATACCCAGTGCAGAGAGCTCCCGCTCTGTGCGGGGTCTGGGGAAGGGTGTCAGTGGCAAGCCTTACCCTCGCCTGTGCAATGCGAGGAGACCGCGACTCGAACCCGGGACCTTCCGGTCACAGGCGGTAAGACTCTACCGCTTGCACCAGGCCCGCCCTTCCCCTGAATATCACTCACCCAAGCATTATTTTCAAGTGCCTTTGCCACTGTTCTTTTGGTTTTAATTTGTGGTCTGACACGAGCAACCACTGTAGGTGCCAACTCAGAAATGGAACATCCATGGAGCCATCGATCTGTCCAAAACAGTGTGTTCTTGCCATTTCCAACTTGGGTTGTTACTGCAATAGAGAATAATGCCAATGTGTTAGCATGACAAGGCAGTTCCAAATCAACCCAAGGACGATCAGCTCGAGTTTTCTTGAGCCATTGCCATCGCATCTGCAGGGCCCAGCTCATGGTCTCAAGATTAAGTATGCCAAGGCCTTCAAGGTCAATCGGTCATTGTACCTTTTCCCAAGCAACCAAACAGCAGCCTCCATTAGCCTGCTCCCTGCCCTTCCAAAGGAATCCTTTTCTGAATTTGTTAATCAATTTGATAAACCACTTGGGGACATTGATAGTGACCAGGAGATACACCGGAATAGTTGAGAGCACATATCTCACTAGAGTAGCACAACCAGCCCTATTCATGAGGTCGGCTTTCCAACTTGGGAGCTTATCCGCAATCTTCTCAACCCAAGGCATCAAAGCTGCTTTGCTAAGTTTCTTGTTTGAGATCGGGAGCCCCAAATAAGTGCAAGGGAATTCTGAAACTGTACATGGCAGCGTGTTGCTAACTTCTGCCAAAGTATCATTTCTACATTGAATCGGAATAATACAGCTCTTACCAAGGTTGGTTTTCAGGCCCGAGGCTTCACCAAAGATATCTAGGATCGCTTTGGTAATATGTAACTCTTCCTCCAAGGGCTTAATAAACAGGGCAACATCGTCGGCATAAAGAGAGAGTCTTTGCCCAGCTGTCCGGTTAGAGAGCGGCTGCAATAGGTCCAAATCACTAGCTCTGACAAAAAGACTGTTCAAGACATCCATCACAACTAGCTGTATTTGGTAAGATTTGACGAAGGATACGTTTTATCACTGGAAGATTGGCGCATTATAAGTGATACTTCACTTCATCTTTGCAATTAGCTTATTCATGTGCTAGGTGACAGTCTTTTATTAAATAATCTTTGTCTCTTTGAAAAATTGTCATGCCAAGGACTAGCTTAGGACCTGTTTGGATCCATGGTCTAAAGTTTGGTTGGCTAAAGTTAAGGGTTAAACTTTAGACCACTTTAGCTCAGTTGTGTGGTCTAATGAGCTAATAGTATTTTTGTGAGGTTGGCTGAAGTTTGGACATCACTTTAGAGTATAGACCACCCGTTTGGAGCCTCAAGAGCTAACTAAACTTTAGACCATGGGATCCAACTGATTGAAACATCGTTATTTTTTAACAATTTAGGCTCCTCTGTACCTTCGCATTGAGTGCGGTTAAAGATTA